TCTTTTACTAATAAAAAATGGTTTATTACGTAATAAACTTTATTAATTTACGCATTATTCATCGTAATGATAAACACCCTTAATTAATTTTAAATATTTTCCGCTAAGTAAAATTTATTCCCCGACATTATTTACTCATTGATTGAGGCGCTTGAAAGCGACCTTAGTATATTATTATTCTATAGTCGATGTGGAATTAATTTACAAATTAATATAGTTATTAGTTATGGCACCTTCAATATTATAATGTTATGCCAAGATGTTAATATTGTAGTATCTTTATGTCAAGATCAGTGTTACGACCTAAACTGAAACTTTCCCTGGAAGAAACTTCCGAAGCTAGTTTCGCCCGAGGCTACAGGTCTGACACTCAGAAACTGGGCGAAACTACCGAAAATGGACGGTGTTACGGAAAATTTTGAAAAATTTTCCTTACCTTGCAAATTTTCGCTATATAGTTTCTTTATTTTCCTATGTAAAAGCAGTAAATTACGCAGTCACGATAGTAATAGCACGTGTACAGGTTCAAACTTGGGGTTAGGGTTTAAATCCAGGATTCGGGTTTGGAACCCCAGATCTGGGTGTGAAACGCCAGATCTGGGTTCGAAACCCCAGATCCGGGTTTGAAACGCTTGTCTAGTAAATAAAATAACTCTTCCTTACTTGGCTTCAATAATAAGTATAGCTGTTAGCACCTAAATAATACTATAATAAGTGACCTGTCGTGCTTAATAAGTGGCACGTGCGACCTAACTTGGACCTCGAGCAACCTAAACATAACCCGTGGCAACCTAACTTGAACCCCGAGTAACCTAAACGTAACCTAACTTGAATCTCGAGTAACTTAAAGCGACAATATAATCTAAGTATAGCTCTGCACGACTCCTTCGACGCATATCCTATTCGATAGCTATTACTAAATAAGGACCCAGCCTGTGCAACCTACCATCAGGATTTATGCTTACGATACTGGACTAAATTGGTCTGGACATATAAAAGCTTTCTAGTCGTAACAACGGTAATGTTAGATAGTGTGCATCGTTAACAAGTGTAATTCTAAAGCCGATTTTGCTGGTTATGATGAAACCGAATGTGTTGTTAAAACCTGTCGTCCTGACAGTGTTCCACATTGTACCTTTCGTTGCGGATTCCAGTCATTAGTATTGTCATCAGAAGATCTAAGTAATGGTGAAACAATTGTTGGCTTTTAATGAATATCAAAATTTATAATAACAGATATAATTAAATTATCTTTATTCTACTTTATTGAAACATGATAATTTTTTTATAAGAATATTTAGAAAAACACAATGTTTACATATAATTAGTGCTTTTATGAGGAAATACTAGTATCTGACGCGTCTTACGTATAATTTAATATCACATCAATAAAAGTTTAATTTTCTAGTTACTAAACAATATATTGCAATTATTTTAATTTGAACATGCTTAGGTAATTAAAATTTCTTGTCTAAAAAATAAAATAAAAATAAAAAATCTATACCATAGATAATGTATAAATCTGTGAGAATCAAAGGTCTTCCGGCTTCAACACACATCTGAAAAATATGAAAAATTAATCATTACCAGTCATTAGTATTTGATGTTTTAAGATATGCATAATTTTTAAATATTTACAATTATCCTGCTCAACACAGTATATAAATAGTCGCCATCTCTGCCATCAGGAAATTGAGAACCGCATAGGACAATAGGATCCAACTGTCGTGATAAACTAGATTGTTAAAGAGTCACTTTTTCAATAACCATAAAATGTCGCATATTTTCTGATTTAAGTTCTCATTTATGAGCTGTTTAACCGAAATTGATTCGTATTTGTAGTTCTTATTGCTACTGAAAGAATTTAAGACTTTACAAAAGTATGTTTCGCATATTAATTGGGTTTGATCTGTTCCTTCAAATTTTCTATCAATCCTAGTTCCAGTGTTTTCACTAAATTACAAATATGATGAGCTTCACCTTAAAATATAAACAATAATATATAAATAATATAAAAAAAAATCTCACTTATCACTAAGACTTTTCACCAATACATAATAGTCATGGAGTTCTAGTTAGTCAATTTTATAAATTAAATACTTTTCATTAGAAAATAAACTATTATAAAATAAACCTTACCATGAAAGTTTTTATACTTTTGATTTTTTATAATAAAGATAGGATTCAGTAAGTTGCTTGAGAACTGTAATTCTGTTTTTAGTTTTGACATCTAAAAACATGAAAGCTGTTAAAGTAAGGTCCTCAATACTAAATTTGGGTCTTTGTACAAGCAATGCTTAGCTCAATTTACTGTTATCCAGATGCCAATTACTAATACCAATGATTGCACAGCTGGTTCATCTTTGAAGAACTTTCAAAGAATTAAATTGACTAGTTTCTGCTAGACCAACTCATCAAGAAAGACTACAGCTTGTACAGGATATGATTTTGAACTAGTTTTCTGATAATTTTTCTCTTTATAGAAAACCTTGATGATACTAGCTGAAATTTCTCTGATAAAGAACTTGCAGACATAGTATGATAATCATCTAACTTACAGATTTTTTGTTCTTCTAATAGAGAAGGATCAATCTGATAACTACTAATCTCCTGACTAGCAGTTGTTTCATGTTATTTGGAACATTATCTTGATCACGATAAAGAGCACAAATAGAATCAGGGATTTGAGACAAAAAAATACTAAAAGATAATTAGAGGTGTTTTATTGAATGATCTTCTCTAGCTGATCATTATATATGTTCTGAGTTGATTTGAATTGAGTAGTTTTTGTAGCAATTAAACATGTTGCAAAATCTTTGGAGACTTCGAGCAATGTTTTTATCAATGTAGTATGAATGTTCTTATTCCCTACCATGAGATTCAGATTATCAACAGTGAATAAACTTATGATAAATGAACTAATTGATCAGCAAGTACTTTTAAAAAAATTTTGACAAAGCAGTGTGATGTGATATTTTCATCATTATCATTCAGGAAATATTTTTGCACTAATTTAAGACATTGTTTTTGTTCTATAGTTTTATTCACACCTATCTGTCCAGTGAACAGAATATCTTTTTCACCAAGCTTATTTCTATCATATACATCTAAGTAATGGGACATTATTTGAATTAGGTTAGAAATTTCTTGCAAAACAGCAAAATCCTTTATATCCCATTTAATATGCACCCTATTAAGGTGGAATTGAATTTAATAGGCTATCATTATCTGTTGATGCAACCTCATCAGCTAATGCTTTAACGGTGTCGGGTCCAAAATAATTCGATTGAAGATTCACCGTCATTAAGGTAGAGTTCTTGCAAAGAGCATCAGCTAATGCTTTCTCGACATCTGCTTCAAAATCATTCAATTGAAGATTTAACTCTGTTAAGGTAGTGTTCTTGCAAAGAGTATCAGCTAATGCTTTTTCTCCTTCTGATCCAAGATTATTCAAATAAGAATAATGGTATTAAGGTAGTGTTCTTGCAAAGAGTATCTATCAGCTAATGTTTTATGACGTCTGATCCAAGCTTATTATAGTAAAGATTCAAATAAATCAACGTAGTGTTCTTGCAAAGAGCATCAGCTAATGCTTTAATGGTGTCTGGTCCAAAATAATTCGATTGAAGATTCAATGTTGTTAAGGTAGAGTTCTTGCAAAAAGCATTAGCTAATGCTTTTCTGACATCTGATCTAAAATCATTCGAACTCTGTTAAGGTAGTGTTCTTGCAAAGAGCATCAGCTAATACTTTCCTCCTTCTGATCAAATTAAGAAATAATGTCGTTAAGGTAGTGTTCTTGCAAAAAGTATCAGCTAATGCTTTTCTGACGTCTGATCCAAGCTTATTAAAGCAAAGATTCTAATAAGTCAACATAGTGTTCTTGCAAAGAGCATAACTAATACTTTTTCTCCTTCTGATCCAAGATTATTATCCCAAAGATTCAATGTCGTTAAGGTAGTGTTTTTGCAAAGAGCATCAGCTAATGCTTTAACGGTGTCTGATTCAAAATAATTCGATTGAAGATTCAATGTTGTTAAGGTAGAGTTCTTGCAAAGAGCATCAGCTAATGCTTTTCCAACATCTGATCCAAAATCATTCGATTAAAGATTTAACTCTGTTAAGGTAGTGTTCTTGCAAAGAGAATCAGCTAATACTTTTCCTTCTTTTAATCAAATTAAGAAATAATGTCATTTAGATAGTGTTCTTGCAAAGAGTATCAGCTAATGCTTTTTTGACGTCTGATCTAAGCTTATTATAGCAAAGATTCAAATAAGTCACCATAGTGTTCTTGCAAAGAGCATCAGCTAATGCTTTAACAGTGTCTGGTCCAAAGTAATTCGATTGAAGATTCAACATCATTAAGGTAAAGTTCTTGCAAAGAGCATCAGCTAATGCTTTTCTAACATCTGATCCAAAATTATTCAATTGAAGATATAACTGTTAAGATAGTGTTCTTGCAAAGAGCATCAGCTAATGCTTTTCCTCCTTCAGATCCAAGATTATTCAAATTAAGAAATAATATTGTTAAAGTAGTGTTCTTGCAAAGAGTATCAGCTAATGCTTTTACGACGTCTGATCCAAGCTTATTATAGCAAAGATTCAAATAAGTCAATGTAGTGTTCTTGCAAAGAGCATCACTAATACTTTTCCTCCTTCTAATCTAAGATTATTATCCCAAAGATTCAATGTCATTAAGGTAGTATTCTTGCAAAGAGCATCAGCTAATGCTTTAACGGTGTCTGGTCCAAAATAATTTGATTGAAGATTTAATGTCGTTAAGGTAGAGTTCTTGCAAAGAGCATCAGCTAATGCTTTTCCAACTTCTGATCCAAAATCATTCGATTGAAGATTTAACTCTGTTAAGGTTAGTGATGGGCAAATTCTGATTTTTTTAAAAATCCTGCGTGGGATGCGGGATCATACGCGGAATCTGTACGTGATCCGCAGGATTGAGTAGAGTTTTTAAATTTCTTACGAATAATAAATATATATAAAGATCATCACTGTAAATATAATTTCTTGTTTAAATAATTATAAATCTTACTGCATTTATTATAAATAAAAAATGTTTATATAGATTTTGCCTACTTTAAAACATATATAAAAAT